TTATTTGTGTTTCTATTCTTCTCTGCCAGGCAGGCTTGTGATAGAATTGTGTTTTGTGTGTGTCTGTCTGTGATTGTATTTTCAGTCCATGGTGTGTTACTACTGTGACTGCCCCAGCATAAACTAATGTATGAATGTCTGAGAGTGTAGAAATTGAATAAATGTAGTTTGGTAGTAAATGAGTTTTTACATAATTAAGTGTTTTTCCTACTACCTTTGACGTGTTGATTTTTGGTATTCGTGGTCTTTGTGTGGGATCTGTGCCTGTATATTTAGTGAGTGTTTTCTGAAATATATTCCTGAGAGTGTATTAACTAAATCTATATTTATGTTATCAGTGATGGATGAGGAAGTGTCTGTAGTATCATTAATGGTAGTTGTTGTATGTGTACTATTATCAATGCATGTTGCTGGATTATCCTGACAGGTTACGTAATCTTCATCAATGTTAAATGTTTCTGTCTGTTGATGTATTTGATCAGCAACCTGTTGTTTGATAAGTTCAAGTGTTGTTTGTGGGATAAGGTTGTTGTGTATAATTGTTCTTTTTTTATCAACAACCCTTTGTTCGGTGAGAGTGAGGTGAGGTTATTGTTGTGTGAATCTATGGTGTAGTTGTTGTCTGTGTGCTGTCATGTTTGTTTAGAGTCTTGTGATGGTGTAGTAAGTATGGATGATAAAATCGTTCATTTCTGATGTCCATTTCATTAGTTGGGGTGGTTTTCCAGCCTTTGTGGTGTGTGGATGCATTGCCACAGAAACACCAAGGCTAGGTTGATTTTTCATGTCTGTTGAGGGCATTGCAGTAGTTATGCTTGGGCCGGCACTGCTTTTGCCACCGGTAACCAAGGGAGACTGGAGCCTATTTTTGAACATGAGCCTCTGCCTAACCCACGAACGCGGACCTTGTTAACCCGGGCGATGTCTGAGCTGGTATCATACTTAGATCTGGTTACTACAATGATAAATATCTTTACAGAATGTGGGTGTGTGGTCACTCTTAGCTTCATTTCTCCCCATAGACCTTACTAGTATGGGTGTCCCTACCAGGTGCGTGTGCTCCAGCCTGTATTGCTCTATGGTTTAGTAAAAGTACTGGGCTCTCCCACCATGACAAGGTGGTGACCATGGGAGAGCTATTATTATTATTATTATATTTTTTCATATGTTTTTTTTTTAATTCATACAATTAAGTGTAGTTTCAAAAAATATTTTCTGTTTAGCACTATTGAATAGTTGATATATAATTGTAAGATGGCCGACTCGGTGGAGATAGGGGACTTGAAACCCACTTCACGGCACCTGTGTAAGGTTGCCGTCTCCTAGATGGGATCTATTAATCTTGCGTCAGGATGAACCTAAGGGAAGGTTGTATGTGGGCTGTGATAGAGGAGGCAAATGATGACAAGTGTTTTACACAAGAAAGCTGTTTATTTGTTAACATTTATGCTTACATCGGCAATTGACAATCCTTCACTAGTTCTTTTCATTGGAGATGCAGAGAGGTGAGAAGTTCGGCGTCTGTCTGGCCCCGGGGCGGACAAGATGATTTCGCTGATCAAGGCAGACGAGATGAAGTTGGAAGCGGCAGAGTCCAAAGTTCGTGCCAACGACACACCACAATATCAGTCGCGACGTTTCTGGGAGTCAGAGAAGAGCTCCCTTGATTTTGATTTTCCGATTTTTATAGTTTTTTTCTCCCGTTATTCAGACGTCTGATTGGCCCCTCATCCCCTTTCTTGCTTCCCGATTGGTGTCTCTTTTGTTTTGGGGAAAACTGAGACTGACTCGGGTTACGGGAAAGATCCGCTTTCAGGTGTCTGCTCGACGCCTTTCTGTCGATTGTTCTTGGGGATTGTTGACAAAATTGCAAGATTCGCACTCATAATTTAGCTCCGCAACTCGCAGTTTCTGTCATCTGAGTACTCGAACGGTCATATGCAATGATTTATCTCTCTTAAATTTTTCCTTCTTTTCTGAAATTGTTTCCCTAGATCAGTGATTTTCAAACTTTTTCGATCCACCGCCCCCTTTGTTCCATAAAGTTATACCCAACGCCCCCTAACCCATTTTCTCTTGTGTGAGAAAAGGATTGGAAATATTCTTAGGAAAACTTTTCTATGAATCTCACACTTTGTGCCCTTACTGTACATTGTTCTCATCATCTGGAAACCATTAAACGCAATGTTTCCTCTTATCAGCCCCAATTTTGCCTTTGGTCACCGTTCAATATCCTGCCTCTATCATAGATCTATTCATCGCGCCAGAAGGGGGCGTTATTGCTTACTTTGAGAAACGCTGAGCTAAAATAAAAGTCAATGTGTTAGAAATATTCAAGTTGTGACCTTCAATAAAAAATATATAAAATGCCAACATTTTATATATATTCCGTCGAATTTTTATATATAGAATTTGTCTGCTGTCGCCCCTCTATATTTCCTTAACGCCCCCCAATTCTCTTTGAGTCTTCTACTGCCCCCCTGAAAGCCTCCAGTGCCCACAAGGGGGCGTTATTGCCCACTTTGAGAAACGCTGCCCTAGATTGATTGTTTATGAGCGCTGGGGTCAAAGTTCTACCTGCATATGACTACTTGTCTCTGACTTATAACTTTTCATTCTGACATTGACAGTTCTTTTAACATGTGTTGGAGTCATCCGAGACTAGTTGTCTACATTTTGTGCCGTGTTGTTTAAGTTATGGGATTTTCCTTTCCCTCTCATATATAATCTATCGTTATTATTTAATCATAAGAATACTGTGATTTACATGATTTTGGACATCGGTTGGGTCCTCACATAATTATTAACTAACAAATTAGAGTTGTGCTTTTTCATTACAAATATTTTTCCATGGTTTGTCAAGACAACCATATTTACCAGACCCATTCTGTTAAGACATTAGATGTCATTACAGAAAATAACACACAGCAATATTTTCCATTCTAATTAACAACACAAGAACTGCCAAACAGTATCATGATCACGTGTATCATTTATTGCCATTTTGTTTTGTCAGTTTTTGATTTATTTCACCAGAGTAATAATATTGCCAGGTAGCAAAATTTGGACTAAATATTAGAAACTCTGATATTTTAATTGTTAGTGCAAAACTTTAATAAATAAAGAACAGCATAACTGGATCTTTTTAATTGAATTATGAGTTTCACAAATGTGTCATTTTTATTTTTAACTAAAATATGCAATTCAGTCTTAAAAATTAATTAATTTTAATATATTTTCCAGTGGAAAGATTTTGTACCAAATTAAAACAGATCTACAAAAAACCTGAATTATTAAACATATTCAAATAAAGGAACCAAAATTCTAGAAGAGAGAATTCCTCATTTTGTTGTACTTGTTATAATTTTTTCCAGAATTGTTTCCTTATAGTATTATGATTATTATGGTCTAGTCTTTTGTAGTGAGGCATTCAAAAATAGCAAAGATATATTTTGGGAAAAGTTAAATTGTCACTTTTAAATTGAGTTAAGAAAACAAAGATCTGATTGAACTTAACACCTCACATAAATTTTATAATTTTAAGTTTTGTTAATGAATTGCTATTTTTTAATTTAATGCAGTAGAAATATTAAATTTAAATTAATAAAATGTTCTGTGTTTTGGATATGAATGCTATGATAAATTTATAACAAAATAATTAAAAATTTTCTCCAAAGGCCACCATCTCCTATACCTAGTCACAATGGATTTCCAGATACTGGCAATCTTTCTTTTGATTTATCATCTTTAGATAGTAGATCATCAACAAAAAGGTATTTTATTAATAAATTTTATTATGTTGAAAAATATTTTAATTTTTATAAATTAATTCTTATTTGTATTTATAATTTTTTCAGTCCATTTCGTAGTTTAGATTCATTTCGTGGAGATGATGAACATAGGCTTATTGCGAGATATGCAGCTCGACTTGCAGATTCCCATAATAATGTATGCTATGTTATGTATTTATTTACATTATTTTCCTCTTCTAATATTTTAATATAAATTAACAGAAAAATATTCAGTAATGTTGTTTGGACAAAATTTGAAGGATCAATACAGAGAAAGATATAAATCTTTTAGCATTAGATTATTTTACATATAACTTTCTAACAGTAATGCAAGAGTGCTCACGTAATGATTAATGAACAAAAATAAATTTAAATAATGTTATTTATTAATTATTGTCATTTTAGTTTTAAGAATGCATTATTAAATTTCAGAAATATCTACGTTGTTTATAAAATGTTGTATTAAATGAAAATGCATTTATAGCATGTGTTTCTCCATCAGATTAAAATAAATTATTTTGTGAACAGTCAATAAATTTATTGTTTGAAAAAGAGCTGTTATGAAATACATTATTTTGAAAATGTTTTTGTTTATCTTGCTAGAAGATAAGTTTTATTTTTTGAAAAATAAAATATATAGAATTACAATTAGTATATTAACATTCAACAAATTTTTCTGCTTTATTAATTGGCTATTATTGTGATTGATCTATATCCTCTTCCAAGGTTTTAAGAGTAAGTATTGCAGAATACCTGAATATTAGAATGACTTTTTGATTTGATGCATACAACATACTATTGGCTATCGGCTCAGTATTATCCATAATAGCATGTTTTGCAATGAAATTATCAAGCATGATGTGAGAAATGGGGAATTTTATGATCTAAACCAGGGGTGTCCAACCTTTTTGTTTCTCTGGGCCGCATTGGAACTTGCCTTGGGCCGCATGCGGCCCGCGGGCCGCGGGTTGGACACCCCTGATCTAAACTATTCAATATTTATGAAATATTAATATTCTAGGATATGGAACTCAAATTTTTTGTGATGGTAAAGGTTATTTTACCATGTGGCTATCTTACTGATGAAAATTATGAAGAAAAAAATTATAAAACTAATTAATTAGAATGAAGTTGAAAATATTAAAAATAACATTTACAAACTACAAAGTTTTTAGTTAGAATAATGTTAATTTATTGAATATACATTAATTAATAAATTTTCAAATTATCACATTTTAATTTCATATATTTACTACTAATAACAAATTCAATAAATTATTATTATTAAATATCTTTTAGGTTAGAAGTCCTTCAGACATAAATTTAACTGTGGATAGCGGAAGACAGAGAGATTTAATTGCTCAATTAGAAGTCAAAAATAGGTATGGTAATGAATTAATTTAAAAATTAATGATTGAATTATTACAGTAACTTTTATAGTTTGAAATGTAAATCATGTAAAAGCATTTATTTTTTTTACCTTTTTTTAACAAATTTATGAAGAGAGATTATGAGAGAAATTATTAGATTAAGAAAACAACAGGAACAGGAAGATGCAGTGATGAGATCAGAACAGAATCCAACGTTGTTGGCAGAGTTGAGAGCTTTAAGGCAAAGGAAAGATGAATTAGAATCTCATCTGTCAAGTCTTCAAGAAAGTAGAAGAGAATTAATGGTGCAACTTGAAGCTCTCATGAAACTACTAAAGGTATTTCTCAGTTGTGAATTAATGATTTAATATTGTAATATTCAATTGATTCAAAATTAACTTGTTCAAAATATTATTATTACATATAATGACTGCAAAATTAAAATATTGTAATTACAGAAAATTAAATTCATAGAACATATAAGTTACATTTCATATTCCATAACATTTTGACAACTGCATTAAAAACATATTAGTTTTTATATTATAATTTTTCAATTTTTATTTTACTTTAATTCTCATAGCCCCAGGTTTATTCAAGATCAGATGTTATAATTCTTGATTAATATTTGTCAATAATTGATCAAGAAATAAGAGTGCATTTTATTTTGGTCATCCTTCTCTATTCATTTTTTAACTGTTTATTCTTTGAACTGATTATTAAAATTTTAGAATTATCAAAACTTGATTTAATATTATAAAACCTAAAATATCTTTTATTTTATCATAGTTAAAATTAATTTTCATTTAGTTAATATATTAAATAGTATTACTTCTGTAATTTTGTTATTCTATAGTTCTATATTTTATTTTAATAAATGATCTAGACATAAAAGTTCTTCTTTACTTCACAACTAGGTGCATAGGTAGACACTGGGCATCTTTAACATCACTCTTTATGCCCAGTGTCTACCTAAGCACCTAGTTGTGAAGTAAAGAATAATTAGAAGACATGGTTTCAGAATAAGTCAATAAAATTTATTGTTTATTACTTTTGTTTTTCATTATCTAAGATATGATATAGAATTGAGAATATTACCGGGTCTGTAATTAATAAAATAAAATTGTCAAAAATGCTTTTTAGATCACTTATGGAAAAATAATGTAGTTTTACAAAATTTTATTGAATAAATTTACATTTTTTTTATTTATGCTTTTTATGTTTAGTGTTCTGTAATAAATGCCTTACTTAATTTTGATAACACTACCAAATTTTCTGTCAAACATAACAAGTTAACAAACAAGACTATCTTTACAAATTATTAGCCTTGCTTACCAATACCATACACTGCAAATGGCTTGATTGCTGAGGCAGTTAAGGCATTGGTCTACTGTTTTGTTGGACCCAGGATTGAAATCAGGTGGTTGAAAAATCTTAGGAATGGATCACACCTAAGACAGACCACATCATCTGGGATTCTTCTGCAGCTAAGTGATAAGGGACCTGGCCACTCACCACCCAACTGCTGCATTATGGGTCTTAAAAAAGGCTCTATTATTATTAGTGCTCAAAGGATGGAAAAAGTAAAAAAAAAAAAAAATAGTTTATTTCAGCTGACTGAAATTGAAAAAAAATTATTTTATGATTTTTAATAATAACAACAACAACCCTCTTGCCAGTCACTACCTTGCTGAGGTGAGAGAGCTCAGTAATCTGATGAACCATAGAGCTATGTTGGCTGGAACATCTGCTCCTGGTAGGGTCATTCATGCCAGTGAGGTCTGTAGGGAGAAATGAAGCCACAAGTGTCTGAATCCACAGCTGTAGAAATGTAACCATGGTGATAACATGATCCAAGTGAAATACTGGCTTGGAAGTCACCCAAGTTAACAAGGTCTGCACTCATGAGTTATGCAGAGGCTCACGTTTGAAAAATATATCACAAGTCTCCATTGCACTGGTCCAAGTAAGGCTACTGAAATGCCCACACCAGTTTTGGAAACCAGCCTAATTTTGATCCTGATCACACATGATAATGATGACAATGAAATCAACACAAATTTCAAAACATCTTGCTTTTTGCTCATCTGTTAGGAGGTGCAGCACAAATTGTGAAAAAATCTTTGGACTTTTCAAATCTCAAGAATGATGACTTGCACTGTGTCATTACTTATGCTCCACTTCTTTCAATTGCACAGTTAGTCACCGATCTGTTTCTTGCAAGCTTTGCATCTGCTTGATCATGTTGAGTATTCTGCTTGTGGCCAATCTGAATGCAGCTTATCTATCAATGATTCCTTACTGTTGTGAAAGCATTTAAGCCAGTAATACACACATTTTTTTTCTGACAGCATCATTCCTATACACAAAGTACAGGTAACTCCCGTATAACATGGCACTTCTATAGCACGGATTCACTTTGACATGGTTTGAGAATTGGTACCATCCCTGTATAACACGGTACTGTTATAGCATGGATTCATTCTGACACGGTTCGAGAATTGGGTAAAACCTTTGTACAACATGAAATGTAATAAATTTTTACATACTTAAGTAATAATAGTTCACGAAAATAATAATTTTCGTGAACTATTAGTACCTAAGTATGTAAATTTTCTTTTCTCGCCTTCTGTCGATACACATGGTCCTTCTCGAAACTTGTTTCATGTTGCCAGATCTTGACACTTCTGATTTTGGTGTTGCCAGATGTTTTTCCCTTATTCCATACTTTCTTTATTCTTCATAAGTGCTTAGCACCATATAAGGAAAATTATAAAGATCTTTTAACTAGAAGCAAGCAATCTAAAATTACTTACTTTTTTCAAAAGGTAAAGCATGGATCTGAAGATAATGCAGAAAAATGCTCAGAGGATAAGGATAACTTGCCAAAAAGAAAATGCTCTCGGTTAATAGTGCTTTTAGTGATGACGAAGGAAACATTGTTTAATTTATATTAATATGTATCACTTAAGAAAATTTTAATGAAGATATTTATCTTAATTATGAAAATATAATAGCATGTTTTTTTAATTTTTGGAACCTAACCCTCCTTTTCATACTAGTTCTTTGTTTCATATAACACGGATTCGCATAACACGGCAATTTTTTGGAACGTAACTACCGTGTTATACGGGGGTTACCTGTATACACTTTGATCAATATTTCATGCATTTCTGTTGCTGTTTTTTCTTTTCTCCAATTTGAAGCAGAACTTCACATTGTGCTGTTTTATTGCTCTTTGATGTCACCTCTCATACAGACTGTGCTTGAATGGCTGTGGTGGAAATCACTTTCAGCCACACATATTCCATGCTGGGAGGTGCTTCTGGACATGTTCATGGATGTTTGTATGCATGCTAAAACTTATTGCAAGCATTACATTTGAGATATTCTAACATTCATCAAATGTTCTGACACACCATATAGGTTTGGAATTGTGTTGACTCTTCTTTCCTGTTAACAATACAAATCAATGGTAATTGATTTAATTAACAAAAAATTTATATACAAAAATTTTTTTTTATTAAAATTATTTTCTTAAAATATGATTACAGTGTGTATAATTCTTTCTTAGTGTTAACTTTCATTATTCAGATTTCTGTAGATTTCAAATAGATATTCACTTAACTTTACTTAACTTTTGTAGAAAATTTACAGAATTATCATATGACTTATGATAAGATACAAAATTATGTTTTTAAATTATAGGAAATTTACAATTATCATATATAAAATAAATTTTTTTCTGAAAAATGCAAAAGTTTTAATTATTGAGAAAATTTATAGTGTATAAAACTGTAAGTTAATAAATTGCTATTTATGAATTTATTATTATTAAAGTTCTTTATAAATTATTTACAAATTCAAATAGAAACAATAATTAAATTTTATGCAAGAGTAAGATGATAAAATTTTGCAATTAAGTTCCAAGATTATGAGTATTTTAAATAATTGGCATTTTAGGGTGAAAAAGTAATATTATTCAAAGTAACCTCTTTAAAAAACCTACACATTTTACTCATAAGACTTGTTGGAAACATTTTTTTATTCAAAATTTTTTTAAAATTCTATTATCATATTGTTTAACATCATCAGTATCTTTAAATTCTTTTCTGTTGAATGTCACTTTGCATTCTAAAGATGAGATAAATCATAGTGTAAGAGAAATTAGTTTTGCAACTTCATACTTTGCTAAAAATTTAATCATTTCTGGAGGAAGTTATGTAATAGGGATTAATTCCAATTTTTTTCTGAAACTGAAGACTGATTTGACAAATTTTTATTGTAAAGAATATACTTCTAGCTTATCATATTTTAGATTTGGTCACATTTTTAGTTAACTTTCAACAAAATGTAATGTTTAGTACAAACAGTAATAATGATTTTGGTAGTAAGAAGTTTGGAGTAGATTGTTTAAATGACTAATGATATGTAAATGAGTTTATAGAAGTGATAGGATTGTTGTAAATGTGTTAATGCTTGTTCCCAATTGTAATGGAAAGTTCAGGACCTTAATTGCTAAATTTTTTATAATACAGTACATATAAAATTTGTTTATTACAGTCATATTATATTTGAAAATTTATATTTTTGATTTTAATAAATACATTACTGAAATAAAAATAAAATAAATCTACTAAAGAAGTAGATTTATTTTATTTTTTTGTTCTTTTGTTTCTTTTAAAAGATGGCAACTTTGATTCTTAAACAATATGTGGAGTAATAAATTCAAACACTTGGCATTCTATCATCTTTATTTAGTTCAGTTGATATGTGTTTATAACACATGTTTCGGGCATAACATGCCGCTCTTCAGCCAACTAAAATTATATCAAAAAATACATACAGTACATAAAAGGTTAAAAAATATACAAGTAGTAAAGATATTTTAGAACATACCTCGGGATTAATGTGTATTTTAAACATGTATCAAGTGAACTAAATAAAGATGATAGAACGCCAAGTGTTTGAATTTATTACACTACATAGTGTTTAGAATCAAAGAAGAGTCACAACATGGTTTCAGATTATCAAAGATGACAATTTATTTATAGAATATTTTACATATATTAAAATCTAGTATATTGTTAACTATCAGGATAAACAGTAATTTGATAAGTTTACTTTATTAGTTAGCAATGTTTAAAATGTGATTAAAATCTCTCTACAATTTCTTTTCAGAATCATCAAACTTCACCTCGATCTACCCCAAACAGTTCGCCTCGATCAGGAACTTCTAAATCTCCACCGCTGTCGACTCCGTACCCTTTGTCCTCATCAAAGAGTGCCCCGACGACTCCTGGAAGTTGTGCCCCAACTACCGACAGTATGACTGGAACGGGTAATGATGGCAGACTATCATTTGGCCAGCAAGGAAGTACCCGCAGCTTGAGAAATGACTTGTTAGTGGCTGCGGATTCTGTAACCAATGCAATGTCATCTTTAGTCAGAGAACTGAATTCGGGTGAGTGAATTTGTGTAACATGGTTTATCTGGATATGTTTAATTACTGCACATATTAATGAGTGATGTTATGTTATTGCATTAAATACAGATTCAGATGAGGAAGGAGCAGGTACCAGCAAAGTACTAAGCAGCAGTAGAGGTCAGAAATTAAATGTTTAAAATATATACTAAAAATATTTTAACAGGAAATAATTTAAAGTTGTTATTTATTGAAAGAATATTATTATATGTCATAAAAGTATTATTGCTTAAAGTATTAAAATGTTTATATAAATTATCAAAAAAGTATAATTAAAACTCAGATTTTGAAACTGAAGACACAGAAAGTGCTGTAGAAAGTCTGGAAGGAGGGGGAACTCTGTGGCGCGAAGAACGACACCGAGCACAAGAGAGCAAATTCATGGCTGAAATTCATGCTCGGAATATGTTGGCGGCTGAAGATAATGAAAACATAAATGAAGAAGAGGATGAAGAATTATATGATAATGATCCTAGAGTAAGTAAATAAATAATAAAAATGGCCTCAGAGTAGATTTTCCTTACTTTATTTTATTTGACTCTATATTTTTTATTTTTATTTCAACTTAATAGGGCATGCTGATAACTGTTTTATTTTAAGTTTTATCTTTTTATGGTTTATTTTTCATTTCATAGGTCAATGAAGTAAAGTCCAGTTGACACAATTAACCTTTTGCAATCACCATCCCTATACCCTTTTCCAGGATCTCGATATGTTTCATCATCATTCTTCGATGACAACGGACGATGAAAGCTACGTTCGAACAGATGATGACGAAGAAGGTGGCAATACTGACTGGGAAGAAACAATGCGACGCTGGGTGAACCGTTAAAACTGTCATCATGAAACAAAGCCAAAGTCTTCTCGGCCGCATCAGATTTGTTATGGGACTATTTTGAAGATTCGAGCATAGTTTGGAGCTCACTTGCAGATGACCATGATTGCAACTTCTCATTTATAATAGTGATGGGTTTGAAAAGTTAATCTCCTTTTATGATAGGAAGTAATGAAAATTACAAATTTAAATTTTTAATTGATTTAATCAAAAATAACATATCAGGTTAATAATAAGATTTCCAAAATAAGGGATCAATTGCAAAACAGTTTTTAACAGTGTTTAATATATTTTTTAAATTGTTCTCACCTTCAAAAAAATTAATTAAATTGAATTTAAAATTATTTTAAGCTTATTGAAACTAATTTTTCTGGGACCAAAATATTTATTTTAATTTTTTACATATTTTATCTATGAAAGAAGTTTGTAATTTTCAGTTTTTCAACAACAAAAAATCTAGATTGGATTTTCTTTAAAAAATTTCTTGACTATTTAAGTAACACTTAATTTAAAATTTATGGTATGTTTAATGTATTTTCTTTAAACATTTATAAGTTTTCTATGTAATTATTTATATAGGTTTTGAAGGTGAGTGCTTAATTTAAATTATCACAAAATAAACCAGTTACAATGTCTAACAAAACAAAACTAAGTACAAGAGAATGTAATTGCTATCTCAATTGAACAGTTTTTAATCATTGCTCAACGTGAAAGGAGCAGTTTTTACATGTTTTGTATAGTTGTATTTGTATTGTGATTAACAGAATATGGCACAGTCTAATGTGTTAAAAATTTTTCTGGATTTTGTTTCCATGTCATTTGTAATATTGCAAAATATAAAAGATTTGTAAACTTGTTTAATGTAAAATGTTTTGAATCAATCACTTTATTTTCAGTATAAATTTTTTGAATTCATGTGTATTAAACTATTCTATTCAGGAAATGTTTAATACATAAATTTTGAAATTTTACTGTAAATAAAGTGGAATTTCATCAATAATATTTTATATTAAATAAATTTACAAGTTTTTAATTAGTTTGTTATAAAATATTGTTAAATGCTATCGTGTTACATGAAAATATTTAATTTATAATTTATATAAAACTTTCATTGCCAGTTATTGACTTTAAATCATGAATTTTTAAGAGTACAGTGATATCAACAAAACACTTTTTAAATGGAAAGCACATAAACTATATATTGCAATTTACATATGTTGTATGAAGAAACTATAATATTATGCAAGGTTGCACTCACACATGTAGAAAACTGATTAGAACTATAATACAGAGTCAAAAGCAATTTTTAATGTTATGTCTATTAAAGTGGATTATTTCCATTTGAACTTATTAGTTTTTTTTTTTATACTTGGCAAGAACAGACTAATTGTTGGAAGAGTTACAAAACACAACTGACTTGATTAACTTTTTGATATTTACTGTACGTCTAATTAAAAATAAATGAAAAACATAAATACAATGCTTATAAAAATGTTATAAAAAAACCTGTGAAGAAAATGTGTGTGAATGCAATCTGTGAAGTTACATTAGAAATTTAAAAACATTTTAAAATTTGTATAAAACATTACAGAACATTTCTAAACCTCTTATTTTTTTAATACTAAAATGAATCATTTATGACTTATCTGTTAATGAAACTAATCTGATTGTTCAAAATAATTGAATAATTGTTTTCTTTTCTTTACTTTCAGTTCTTGAACTGAATTAAATCTTAAAGAAAACAAGACTCTATCTTAAAAGTTTTGTTTTTCTCCATCTCTATATTATGATGTGTTTGTCACATGTTGTACATACTATTGAAAAAAACTTATATTAAATTTATTTATAATGTATGACAGTTAACATTGCAAAACAATCATTGTTGAAGTATTAAATACCATAATAGTTAAATTAATTGTATTTAGTAAACATATCCTATGGCAATGCAAACATATAAATATATATTAATAATGTTTAATAGTTGTTTGGCAAAATTTTCTGAATAAGTGTATTTTCAGAAAATAATCCTCATGAGCATGACAACTGACTGCATTGTTAAAATTCAAACTTTATAAAATAGACAATAATGATTTCTTATGTTGAATTTAGTAAACGTTTCTAATATTTAAAAAAAATTAACTTACAATAACAGAATTGCAGTTTTAATCCAATGTATTAATTTACATTAGACAAATACATAAACAGAGTATCAAATATATTTGATTTTAAATTTTATAAAGAATTATATAATAAAATTATTTTTCACCCATTTAATGAATACTTTTTCTTTTAATTGAAACAATATTCTAATTAAGTTCATACATTAGTTGATTAATGTATGAACTTAAAGTAATAAACTTAATAACCTTTAAACAAATTTCTTACAGTTAACTTTATATATGTAAATGGAAAGCATCAAGAAGTTTGAGAGATAATTTATCTTTTTAAGTTCTTTATTAAATCTTTTGGATAACTTAAAAGTAAAATAATCTTTTAAATTATTGTCATCAAATTTATTATTTATATTGCTTAAAATAATTTGTACTGCTTGGAAATTGGGAAACTGCCATGCCGAGCCACACCACTTGCTTTTCTATAAAATTTGATAATTTTGTTCAAATTTGAAGTATTAAAAGTAAATGAAAATATTACTTTTTTTAAATATATATAAATTTTATTATAAAATTATATAAATATTTTAAAATATTTGGTAAAAATTTGCATTTTATGAAATAATTTAGGCTTAATAAATTATAAGAGTAATTTTAATAAATTATTTTATCACTTTTATAAAATTTGTTATTTTTACGCTTAGTTTTTTCAAATGCTTTAAATAAATTCAGTAATACAAATTAAAAATATTACAGTTTGTTTAAATGATATTTTATGGAGTTATCGAATGTGTTGTTGAAGTGCTCTTACGTAACAGGACAGAGAGTCAGATACCAAACTATTGGTCATTTTTAAGCCAGTTAGATTAATATCATGCTAGTAGGAATTCTAGGTAGTAAAGCCAAAGTTGACATTGCATAGTTATATTCCTAATTGCAGGTAACATCTGTAGTTCTTTGAATTCTTTGCAAATTGTTCACATAGATTCCTTAATTTGTTAATGAGTTTGGTTTTATGAGATATAATAAGCATCAAATTAGTAATTTTGGTAAAAGATGTGTGATTGCATCTTCCAAGGACCAAAGATATTTTTTTTATTATTTGAATGTTTAATTATATTTGGTATTATTTATAAATAATAGACAATAATAAATAAGTAACACAATTTATTAATTTTTTTTATGCTAGGTTTACAGTTCTTGAGCTGTAAACCTAGCAAAAGAATTTGTTTACAGATTACAATTATCTATCCTCAGATATTACAGTTTTATACAATAATAAGAAGATAAAAATAACTGAAATATTATTAGGTACAAAGCATTTTGACAAAATTTAAATTATTTATATAATGAAACAGATATTATGAAAAAATTTTTACAGTTTGTATTACATTTAAATGAACAGAAATACAGTGTGACTTCAGTTTACAGGCATACCTCATTCTCAAAAATCTTGTAAATAGGGTGAAGCTTTTCTATTATTTTTTTTTTTGGTCGATATTTGTATCTTTATACCAACATCATACCAATAACATTAAAGTATTATGAAATATCACTTACTTATCAGTCAGTTCTTCTAAATGAAATAAAATAAGTGTTGATCAGGCAAATTCATACAAAAGGAGCTAATATGAAATCTGTATGCGTCTGTATGGAATCTTGTATCCTTTGGAAACATGCTAAGTATAAGCTTTACTGCTGCATGATTATTATTATTATTATTATTAAATCCACCCAAAACAATTGTGCAGTTCTGTTTTCTCAATGTATTTGATTAATACATTTGTTATCATTATTGTAAGGCAAACTGATGTGAATACGAAAATCTTTATGCATTGGATATGCCAAAAAATAATTTAAGAACAAATTGTCAACATACATCACATATAAATAGTTTAAATTTTCTAATTTTTTATTATAGAACTTGGATTATCTTTTGTTTTTTTAAACATTCTGTCATTTGTCAAGAGCATTATAAAAGATTTACTAAGAAATAGAAATTGCACATGTTTTTTTTGGATACACAGGATAAATTGTTTATAATTTTGGTAATACTTAAATTATTATCTCAATAAATTAAGAATTAGTTGATTTGTAGTAATTCATAAAATGGTTTAAACAATGAAATTAGAAATTTTTGTGGTTATTAAATCTGGATGTAAATTTGTGAGTTATATTTTTTTAAGACAATAATTTTAATTTTTCAGATAAAATAAAGAGGAGGGAGAACATTTTATATTTATTCCTTCCTTTTAAAGCTCAAGAATAAAATCTATATTTAACAGCATTTTGAATCTGTTTAAGGCTTTGAAAAAACTTAGATATATATTTTTAAAATCTTGTTTTGAAACCAAATAATGCAATGTGCTGTCCAATATATTTATGCACTGATTATTTTATTACTTGTTTAATTTTCACTCCTTATATATCAAATTTTGAGTTTATTAACTAAAAACCATTTCTAGAGATTTCTAGGAATGTTTTTACAGTAAAGTTTCAAAAGAACAGTTTGTTTGAAGTAATGGTAGTCTTTGCAATCCATTGCACTTTCTGAAGAAAAAATAAATATAGCAGTAAAAAATAGACAGTTTGGGAGATAAATAAATATCAATAAAAAATTTTTAAATAAAATTCTGATTTAATTTTAACATTTTTCTTTTAAAAAATGGCTAATTTTTTAATATGTAAAAAAGATTTTTACATATTAAAAAATACATAGAGGAGACTAAAATGTTTTCATTTTTCATCATGTCCAATCACTACATTGTTCCTGATGATTGAACATGGTGAAAAATGAAAACGTTTTAGTCTCGTCTATGTATTTTTTAATTAAATTTTTTAAAAGAAATACAGTAGAGCATCGATTATCCGACCCCCGATTAACCGTCACCTTGATTAAACCGACTGCATTCTAGTTGGAAAATTCAAATGTTCGCTAGTGATGTGGTGCTACAATATTTGGCTGTGTCTTGACTACTTTAATATTATTTTTGTTAAATTTTTGCATGTTTTAGCTGGCAACACTTGCTCGACCATGAAAGGGAGGCCAGTATTTAAACGAGGCTTAATTTTCTAATTATGAGTGGTTGTTTGTTTTGTGAGCAATAAAATAATTTTTAACGATACAATAGCGACAATTATTATTTAAAAAGAAATTTGATAGGCTTAACATGGAGGAAAATTCAATGCAAAGTAGGTTAATAGCGATATACTAATTACATGGGATATAATAATATACTACACTAATAATGGATTTT